TGCAGAGCAAGTACTCATGAAATACCGGCTGTTGTTACTACTGCTCAAACCCCTCCAGTGTCGTTCTTTCAGTTTTTCTAAAAAGTTAAGTCTTCTGAGCAGTTTTGGGTAGCCATCACACATCATGTGAACATATGACGACCGGATACACTCCTGAGGATGGCCAAGTAAATTACACTCTAGATTTTCAATATTATAGATTGGAAATTTGTGTTCATTTTCCTGCCTAGGCTAAGATTTACTTTTGCTTAGAAATCCTTTCTTAAATAGTCAGTACAAATTTTAACATATTTATTTATACCATTGACTGTGTCACTATGAGTTTATGGCATACACAAAACTTAACGGTATATATATTTCTAGAGAAATGAGGAAAATACTAAGTTATTTTTAAACACTTCAGAAGCGCTGCACTGTTCACATATGAACAGTGATGTTGACTATATCTTTTTTAACAAAGACATCCAGACCTGTGTTATGATAGTCCCTTTAGATGACTGAGCAAATTTTCTTACGCCAATCATCAGAGTCACCTGCATTTTTTGCATTCAGGGGTTCAAACAAGAACAAACGGAAACTTTAAGATAAACTGGTCCAACACCTACAACCTTATTTTACTAGGGTGAGAAAACAAACACCAATTTGTTAAATGAATACTAGTTGGTTAACAGCCATGTGATCTCTTGCTCCTCCGAACTCCACAGCATTTTGTATTCTTATCTGTTTGTCCATTCATTCAGTCAATGAATATTCAGTGAGCTCCTCTTCTGTGCCAGCCCCTCTGGGGAATGACCGGGAGGCAATGAATGCAGACTCTCACTGGAGAAGTCTGGCTAAGGAGGAGGAAAGAGAGCTAGGGGTGGAGTAGCTGGAGGGGCTGCAGAATTTTCTATCTCTGTTTATAAAAATGCAAGATCTCTGATCAACTTTTCTCTCCCACCAAACTTTCCTTTGCAGGAGGCACTGTGTACCTACCTTTACCTAAACACTGCACAGCTCACAGTACAGAACCTTGCAAACAGCAGTTTTTGAATAAATGTCTGTTGGAAGGAACTGAATTTTACCTCCACTGCCCTCATTCCCTCCCTTCCTACTCCCCTTCCTCTATCTGAGACCTCTCCAAATTCCGATAGGCCCTGAGAACGTTTTTCAGACCAAGAACTCAGGATGCAGTGATCTCGAAAATCAAATGAAGGCGACTGCAACCAAAACCAGAACGGTCTGTAATATAGCCGATTGGGCACTGAGGAGAACAGGACCACATCTTTTTCATCTCTGTATCTCCAGTGGCCAGCACAAACCCTGGCGTGGGATAGAAGCTCAGTACTGAAGAGAAGCTTGCTGCCTAGTGATCCCCGGAAAGGAAAGGTGAAGCTGCGCATCACAGAAGCACAGATCTATTCAATCTGTGTGAGACATGGGCTAGGCCCACATTTAGCATTTTTTCATTAACAAATGTTTTCTGAGCCTCCATTGCAGGTCCAGTGCTGGGCACTAGGGTTATTCAATCAATCATTTAACAAACAGTTACTAAGTATCTGACATAATAGCACATGCTGAGGATCTGGGGATGATGTTCATTCTGCCTTCACGGGGCTCCAATTATCTGACTCAACCTGGCATGACAGCTGGTCTGCCCCTTTCCCCACTTGACTATAAACCCTTCCAGGGAAGAGAGGATGAAGAATTCACGTGCACACGCCGAGTACTCAGTACTGAGCCTTGCAGAGTAAGAGCACCCTAAATGTTTGATAACCGTGTCACTTTTCTGCTCAGAACCATGCAGTGTTCTCCATTTCACTTACAGAAAATAGCCAAAATCCTCACAAAGGACTATACTGATCATTACAGCCTACCTCTCCCAACTCCCGTCTTCTGCACTCTCTGGTGTGCTTACTGTTCGTCAAACACACCAAGGGTACTCCCACCTCGAGGCCTTTGTACTTGCTCTTCTCTCTACCTCCAACACTTTCCCCTAGATAATTAATTGCATGACTACCTTCCTCACTTCGTTCAGATTGTCACTATTCAACATGGCACATCTTACTTATTTTTGGTCGAAACTTCCCCAGTCCTATAATGTACGCAAGCGTTCTGTTTGCTTTGTCTACCACTATATCCTCTACGCCTAGAAGAGGGCTCGGTACATAAGAGACGCTCAATAAATAAATAAATACCCACTGAATTACTAAATCCTCCACCCCACCCCATCTCTGAGTGGAAGAGGCCTCAGACCTCTTCCAACCCAAGTCCGCCTGATGTTAGTGATGGACCAGCGTCCGCCCGCACGCTCTCTCAGTTTCTCCCTCCAAGCGTTAGTCCACCGAGGCTGGCTCCGCCCCTCCGGCCCGGTCAACACCAGCACGCGTAGACCCCGGCCGCGGGAGCACCCCGCCTGGCCCACAGGCTGCGTGCGAGGGGAAGCAGGAAGGGAAGGCACCACGAAGGTGCGGGACACCAAGCCACCCGACTCTTGGACGCTGACTCCCCGGCGTCTTCCCTGCCCGCGAACGAGGCGGCAGCCCCAAGCCGGGCCCCAGGCCCTACCCCGCCAGCAAAGGGCTCGGGACCTACCTAGACCCGTCAGCTCGCGCAGCGGCGGCGGCGCACATCGAGCCCCGCCTTCAGCCTCATTTCCGGTTCCTGCCCCTCTCCCAATGGTATTCTGGGAATTGTAGTTTTCAGCCTGGCCGCTCGGTGTGCAGATGCCAGAGAGGGGCTTCAGCTTCCACGCATCACCCTAGCGCTAAGGAGCCGCGCCCCACCGGAAGTGTTGCCGTGCCTCTGTGAGCCTCAGTCTCCCCGTCTTTTAGATGGGGTTTACAATCCCTGCCGCTTGCCGACATCACAGGGCTGCTACAGGTGACCAGGCGCTCTGATGACTGTCAAGGGCCCAGCATTACAAAACTGGGCTGACACCAGACTTGAACCACGCTCATCCCGCAGCTTAGGGACCTTGCGCTCCCCTGGGCTTCCCCACAACCACACGAGCTGACACAGCCCTTCCCTGAGCACACATTTGCCCTCGACACCACCTGGCTGTCCAGGTTCCTGACAGAGATATCCCGCCTTGGACAGGTAAAGAGTCTAGCCTCTGGCTTCTCTCTCTCTTCGCCTCACATATACGCGGGGAAACTGAGGCTCAGAGACCTGAGGCGACTTGCCCAAGCCCTGGCCTGATAAAAATGATCACTTCTCTTCCCTTTGTTCCTTCTGTCCTAGGGGTCTCACCCTTTCAGAGAGACCCTACCATGAATGAGCCTGAAATATCTCCCACCCGGGAAACCACAGGCCTGTTGCGTCCCTCCTTGGCCCCACACCATTCCCGGCTCCAGACTTTTCTTTCCACAGCTCCTCAGCACCTCCCACCCCATCCCCAAGCCAGCTTCAATCCATCCTTCATCTGCTCCTGGAGCGGCTTTTAAATGCTAAAACGAAACATTCTATTCCTCCCAGAAGGCTTTTTCTAAAATGTTGCTCTAACGTCTCTTCTCTGCTCAGAAGCTGGCCCTGGCTTCCCACTCAGCAGGGCTTACAAAATGGCTCCAATGGTCTTCAGCGGCTCCACCCCACCTACCAGTCCCTGCACCCCGCGCTCAGCCATACCGAATACCTTTCCCGCCTCCCTGCCTCTGCTCTTGTGTCTCTTCACCTTTGAATGAGCTCATGGCCACTTCCCCACAGAAAAGGCCTCCTAGCTGGTCTCACTGTCTCCCCAACCCCCATCCATTTGCCAGATGATTATGTCTCCCCTACTCCAAACCCCACAGTGGCTTCCTATTGCACTTGGATGTAAAAATCTAACCTTCCCAAGCCCTCGCCCAACACACAGCAGTTACTCAAATAAATACTTCTTGACATACTAGTTCTAATTAATGCTGCCCCCTACAGGAAGACTTCCCTGATCACTACTCTGTCCCCCACCCAAAAATGACTTCACTCCTTTGAGTTCTCATATCACTTTATCTGTTCTTTTTGGTGGCCCTGAGCACACTATGCCTTGTGTTGTGGGTCTCCATCTCTACATGTCATCTTATTTCTTGGACCAGGAACTCTCAGACAGGATTCTCATTCAATTATTTACATCCATAATCCTGTATCAGGTCTCACCTGGCGTTGGTGTACCATAAATGTTTGTTGAAAGAAGTGAATCAGCCAATATGCTGGTGGGTAGGAAAAGGAAGGAGGATTGGAAATGTCCAGTAGTTTCTTAGTCATTGAACAACTGACCCTTGCATTGCCAGGTAGGCAGTCTCATTCTGCTATCTCACGTAGGGGCTGTGTATCTCAAAGAAAGTGCTACGCAGGGCAACTGCCACTGCACTTTAGCGTCTCAATAAGCAATGAGGGGTTTCCCAGAACTTCTGGGACTTAGAGCTCCTCACGGGAACCACAGAGCAAAACACCAGCTCCACACACTAGCAACCCAAGAACATGAATGGATTTGAGGGGAGAGGAAGCAAAGAAGGAAACAAACATTTGAGTGCTCGTGCTGGAGGCTTCGGCCTTCTTCCTGCCTTCTGTGATTTCTCTCGCAATAATGCTGAATGTATGTTATACAACCATCTCCACTTTGGGGTGTTTTATGTTGATAATATCTTCAAGGTATCGAAATGAGGCATCTGGCACACTTAGGCCCTCATAAATGGAGCCTGATATTTCCTTTGTCAGATGGGGAAACTGAGGCCTGGAGAAGTGCCTATAATATCACTGCAAGGATTCAAGCCCTAATTGGGTTGAAGTCATGAGCTACTTCCCTAAACTTGTGACCATATATATTGTGTTCACGTAAATCAGTTATGTAGCTCTTCATAGCCTTCTGCTGGCAGAAGTACTCAGGCCCCGTTTAACACCATACAATTTTTATTTCAGTGTCCTATTGTTCCTGTTTTTCTTTGCCACGAAATCGCTTCCAATCTGTGTTCAAGAGCCTGATTTAAATTTTATTCAAAATATTCTGTGAAAAGAAACAGGACTCTAAGAAAATAAATCTTTTCTCGGCACAAGTACTGGGTAACTGGTTACTAGTTAACAAGTAACTGGTAACAGGGGATGGGAAGAATATCTTTTCTCTCCTCCCAAAGGATTGCTTTCCTTCTGACTGGAGAGAGCTCGGGTTTGTGACTGCATACCTTCGTCTCCACTCCTGCTTGTGCTGGCAGAAGCAGAGGAATGAGAGAGCCCTGGAGGAACCGAACGGCGGGCAGCCTGAGCTCACAGCTGATCAGGAGCCCCAGAGAAGGGACCCCTCGAGTGAACTCTAGGAGCCCAAGGTGAGTGTCTAGACCACCTGTGGCCTGGACAGAGAAGCCAGGGGAGAAAGGTATCCCAGGGCTATGCTGAAGTCAGCTTTCCTGTCTGCAAACAAATGCAGGCGAGGGTTTCTGACCAGGAGAGGCAGCCATAAAGGCTGGGGTTATTATCAACAGTAACTGAGTATTTGCTAGAGTTCTACCCTACACTTCAGGCACTGTTAGTTCCCCCAATTTACAGAAGAGAAAACCAAAGCACTGAGAAGTTAAGTTGCTTGTCCAGGGTCCCACCAAGATTAACTGGGATTAACTGGCTCAACTAGGATTAGTGAGAAAGGTACTGAATACATTTCTTTTGCTCTAACATGACTCTTAAAAAGGCAAATCTAATTCAGGGCCTTAATGTTTGCCTTTTTAGATATTTAAAAGAGAAATAGGGTGCAAGATTCAGAAGCGCTGTCAGGTTCAGATACAGCACCGAGCACACCTGGATGAATGGGGCCATGCAACTGATGAAGTTACTGCCACCTAGTGGCAACCTGTGCTTGTCGCAGCGAGGCCGACAAAGCTACCAGGCCTCCTGGTGCAGGGCTGCAAACCAAAACCCTCCCAGGTGGAATCTATCAAATATCACATGCATTCACTCCTATTACGAAGGTGATCGCCAAATCAGTGTGATACAAGAAGTTAAGATTGTGTTTCTCGTGACCCTCGCCACCCCTTCCTCCCTCATCCCTGTCTTCTTGGGACGGTTTGTGACTTCTTGCTTCCACATCCCCAGGGCATGCTCCGTTCAGGATACACACTTTCCTGATGGTGATCCACTTATCTGTACCCCCAGAGGGTCTGCAAGCATCCTGACAGGGGCTGGGACTTGTCTCATTCATCCTTATAGCCTAAGCGTCTAGTACATGGCCTGGTATAAAGGAGGTATCCAGTGAATGTTTGTTGAATGAATCTAACTGAATGTTCTGACCCAAACTTATCATCACTCTGTATGATTCAGGCCAAGATTAAGCAGCAGTTTATTTGAATATTCTAAATAGTAAACATTTGAGAGGGGTGGGTGGAGGAATGGAAGGGACTTCTCAGGGAAGTGTCCAGGGCAGGGCAGGGCAGGGGGCCGGGGCAGCCGGCCTGCTCACAGGGCAGTGGATGCCCGGAATTTCTGGGTCAAACAGAACACGGCGGCCGTGAGGGCAGTGCACTGACGGGCCAAGAGTTTCACACTGAGGTCTTGATAGCCTCTCTCGCAGGTCAGCTTAGCGGCCTCCACAAACTGGTGGTAGGTGTCCACCACGTCCCTCAGGTTCCCTGCCGCTTCCCTGTGCCGGGCGGAGCAGCGGCTGCAGTCTGTGAACTGGAAGCACAGGCCAGCCAGCTGGACCAGGTGCTGGAAGGTGTCACGCACAGCACCCTGCATCTCTTCAGCGGACTGGTCCATTCTGATCACATGCTGACAGCTCGACAGGAGTTTCTGGGAGCCCATGCAGAGCCGGCTCCGGCTTTCAGAAAAGTGCCAGGTGCACTTCTCTGGCGGGTGTTTGTTCGCATTCCCCCAAGCAGCATCTAGAATGTCCTGTAATTCCAGCAAGCTCTCTGTGAGCTGGATGAAGCCCTCGGGGGTGCTGGTTGGGGCAGCTTTCAGCTGCCTCAGAGCCTTGGAGCAGTACTCTGGCCAGGTGTGGTTGTTCCTCGACAGGGGCTCAGCACTGCAGCTGTGGGCCCGGGTACGCCTCCAGGGCTGCGCCAGCCGGCTGCCTGCAGAGGGTGGCGAGGTGAGCGGGGCTGTGAGGTGTGCTTCCAAGTCCCTGTCATCTTCCTGTGTCTCCGGCTGCAGGCCCCGGAAGCACGTGGCATAGGAGAACTGGCAGCTGCACTGCTCCATCCCAAACCTGGGGGCTGCTGTCTCATTCACACCCGCAAAACCCAGAGATGTGGCCGTCCTGAGATTGGCAGAAATTTTTGGATGGCTTTCTGGGGCCAAGCACAGGAAAGCGTTCTCAGCAGGAAAGCAGATGCTAGGGCTTTTGTCTTTGCTTTCTGACAGCGAACCATGGTTTGAACTTTCTAAGTGGGGCTCCTCTTGGGGACACGGTGGTGGCTTTGGCAGCAAAGGCCCTGGATTAAAAGACACCTGCTGAGAAGTGTCCCTATGGGCTGCATCTTCCCCTGTCACATGGTTAAGTGGCTCTGCCTTGACCCCTTCCAGAGGACAGGCTAATGGAATGATCTGGTTCCTAAGCAAGAAATCAGGGTCCAAATCCAGCTCTGCTAGTAGTAGTCGTTGTTCTTGGGTCTGGCAGGCTTGGCCTAGGGGTTCTCTGCTTTGTGCTTGGCGGTCCATGGGGGAATGTGCTGGAGTCTGCTCAGTGCCTGTTACAGGAGTCTCCATGGAGAAGGAGGCTATTGCTCCACTAGCTGGATCGCTGACACCAACAGTCTGTGGAATAGCATTGAATGCATCACCCTCAGCATCACCTGAATCCTTCCCAGATTCATCATGAAATAAGTTGGTGCCATTTTCGTTTCTAACTTCTCCATCATCTTCCAAAGATAGTTGTCCTCGTTGCTCCTCCTTTGTAGGGAAAGAAGCCATCATCTCTCCTGAATTTGTTCCACATTCACCACTTCTAGGCCTGTCTTGAGGAGACAACAAAGGCTCTGTGGATTTGGGGGCAGGTTCTTGCATATGATTTGTAAACAAAGATCCCAATCCCATTTCCAGCTGGACTCCTCCCAGCTCTAGTGTGTCTCCTGGAGAGACACTATGTGGCCCTGGGCTGACGGTCAGGCAGACTCTGTCTGGGTTCAGGTCAGCACTACAGAGGGAAGAGGTGCTGTCCCCAAGCTCTATGGCAAGTTCCTCGCGTGCACTACCCTCTGAGTCTTGAAATGGAGGTAAGGTTTGGGAAGGCCCTGCCTGAGCAGTATCTGGGCCAGATAAACCTGGGTTGGAACAGCGAGGGGTGCTTGCTGGGGAACCGGCAACAGCAGCAGAATTCTCTCTATGGTTGGGGTCAATCCGGAGGCGAACAGCAGAAATAGAAGACACTCGAGAGTCGATAACCGACTTGGTTTCCATGGTCTCGGGCTCCATCTCCATGACCCGGGAGGCTGGGTTTTTGTTCTTGGTCTCGCCCAGGGAAGCCAGCAGCCCCAGGGCCTTGGTCTCTAGGAGGCCGGGCTCAGCCTGCACATCCTGCAGTGAGGACACAGTCAGGGAGGGTGCACCAAGGGCCAGGTAGGGCTCCCTGTCATAGTAGCACACGTGGTCCACGCTCTCCAGGGAGGCTGATGGCACCAGGGGAAATGAGACCTGACAGGTGTAGTCAGTCTGCAGGAATGACCTCCTTTTTCTCAGGGTCTTGGCATACTTCTTCACCCCTCCCCTTCTGCTTGGCTGTCTTCCATCCAGCCCAGGATTCAGGCTGTCCTCAAGGCTGCAGGTCCTAGCCGTATTCTGCAGGCTTGTGGCACTGGGGTCTGCAGCAGAAACAGCTCTGGGCCCTGAGAGTCAAGAAGGGAAAAAGGCCATGAAAAGCAGAAAAACCAAGAGACTTACAGAGCTTGGGCTCAGGACCCTGGGTTGACTGGGTTCAGATCCTGGCTGGGCTGTGTAACCTCGGGCAGTTAAACCTCGATCCCCCCAAGTTCCTCATCGGGAAGATGGGGATAATAACTGCTGTAGACAGTTCTTGATTCTTGGTTGCCCCAGATCCATTTCATTGTCTTTTGGTCATAGTCCCCCCACTTCCTCTCGGGGAAGAATGACATCTCCCTGGGGGGTTACAGTCGACTGGAACTGTCAATGAAGGCGCCCAGTCCACGTCAGCCAAGTGGTCAGATTTGTGATCTAGAAAGTTAGCCACAAATTTCCTAGAATTTCAAACTCAAACACACTGATTTAAAGAAAAAAAAAAAAAGGCAGAGCCCTTTCTTGTAGCCACAGTATCCTGACAAGGCGATCTTTTGCCACCCAGCCTCCGAGTGTGGTTGTCGCTTGGGTCTGAACCAGCGCCTCAGCTCTGCTGGCAGCTCCATAAGCTGCCTCACACCCTTCTAACACTCTTCCTTTGTGCTTTCATTAACCCGAGTCAGTCAGCAGCTGGAATGAACTGTGCATGTCAAGCTCCTAGCACAGGGCCTGTGTCTAACAGATGTTCACTAAAGACAGCTGTTGCTGCTGCCGTTACTACCGTCACTACGTGTGTGAGGGTTCTGAAGGAGCTTCCTTTTGACAAAAAGTGGCCACGACCCTCAGTTGCGGGCGTGAGGGGTTTGTGCACACCAGGATGGATCTTTCTGAGGAGAGAAGCACTTGTGTGGAGGAGTCCTGGGAATCAGCCAGAAGGAATCAGGATCACAGCCCAGCACTTGAGAATCAGAGGGCTCTTAGACTCACACCAGTTGTTTCCAACCTGGCTGCACCTTATTAAAAACCATATCCAATCCCAGCCTGCTCTGCAGACCTCTTAGATCAGAATGTCTGAGGCTGGGACCTAGGAATCTCTAGTATTGAAATCAGGTCCCTTGGGTGATTTGATGCCCAGCCACATGTTGGAGCTCCTGCCCTAGCCACCTACAGCCACTGACCACAGTGCCTAGAAAGAGAGAGGTTCGCACAGTGGGGCGGGGGCCGGGAGTCCCGGTTCTGGGCCATCCTCTCAGTGCCACACTGGCTCCCTATAAAAAAGGGAGTATCCAGTGACAAATAAAAATGGCAAGCCATAGGATATATTGGAGTATATGAGGAAGACATTTGGTATAAACCTAATTTGGCCTGACTTTGTTTTTTCCAAAAGGGCCTGACTGTGGCTATTGAGCACACATTGTATATCTGCTTAGACATTTCCTATGGCCAGAACAAATGGCCTTAAGATAAAGGTGCAGTTTCCCCCACGTTGACATTTCCTTAGGGATAAGCATCCTTCCTTAGGCTAGGAACTGATTGCTGCACTCACCTTTGACCACCCAGCTCACCCAGCTCGAGGCAACACACCTGCTACCCCGCGGCATTCACTGAGACAGCAGACCTATCTGCCATTTCCATCAATCGCTGTGCTGACAGAGCAGTCTCGTGACTATTGTAAAAGGGACATTTCAATCATATGTGAAACATACTCTTTGTGGGTATATAACCACCCTTATACCCCCACTTCTTTGGAGTGCTCTGTTGCTTTGTGGAAAGACTCTCCCGGGTTATAATCCTAAGATTTAAGCTCAGAATAAACTCACCCAAATTTTCATTTATAGATTGGTTATGGATTATTTTCGTCGACAGGTTTGAGGGGTACTGGTACATTTCCTAGGTGGAGAAAAACCTAGAGGGAAGTGCCTAGGCCAGAGCAGCCTAGAGGGAAGTTCCTAGGTCAGAGGAGCCTAGAGGAACTTGGGAGTGAATGGGGAAGGCTGACCTTTTTAATTTGGCTTTAAATTGGAAAGAATTGTGTTTATAAAGTCTGAACAAACTGCTTGATAGAGAAATGAGAGACTGAACATGTTCAGCTCCAAAGAAAAGGGACACTTGCTCCTCCAGGCCTTTACCAAAAGGCATCCTTAGGTGACTAAGGACCTCAGCGGGAGTGTCAGAGGATCAATCCTTACGATGTGCAGCGGTTCCATAGGGAACTCCACTCTCATTCACGGTAATTAATTACAGGCTCGTCTGGGGACGCGCACATAAGGGCTGGTCACCTGCGTTCCAAGCCCCTACGGTGGTTTTAGATCACCGGAGGAGAAACCAAGGCACGTAAGAGAGTGTTTACGACCTTTCTATAGGGAGTAACACTCACAAGCAGCACACTTCCTGACCCACGACACTGTCCTTAGAAGTTGTTCAGACTTTATAACAAAACAAAATTAAAAGAGAAGCGGGAAATCGAGCTTCTGAAACAGCCCGATCAGTTCCCGAATATGCATACTCTCCTCTGGACTCCAGATGGCTTCACGCTGTGATTGCAATTGCTTAACAAAGGGGGATCCCAAGCCAGACTGCTAAGGCCAAAAGAAAGAAAGAAAGAGAGAAAGAAAAAAAAAAACTGGGAAAACAAGTTTTTTCACCGTGGTCTGCTACGAGACAGAAATCTAAGGAAAATCTTTGTTCTATATGTCTGTCTGTCTGTCTGTGTCTATATATGTTACAAACATGTGATACTTTACCTCCAGATGGTACAATTTCTAAAGAGCTCTATTCCATTGACTTAAAGTAAGCGCTTACAAAAAGTTTTTCTAAATAGAACTAACTCAAATGTCTTTCAAGTTAACATGATATAGATTAATCTTTGGTTAATGAAAGTTTAAGTTTGTTGGTTTGATTGAAAAGCCATGTCCTCGAGAGTTGTTGGTATTTGCATATGATGCAGGCATGCAGCCTGGGTTTACTAGTCAGATAAGTTCACGTTGTCTGTTAGAAATTCGTCAGCAAAATAATAGCTTTAAATGATCAGTTTTGTCTAATGTCTCATGAAGTTTTTGTGGGTAATCTGAACATAATTGTTGGAAACAAATGATTTAAACAGATAAAAGTGGGTACAATAACTGTTTTATGGTCTGTATACTTGGAAAAAAAACAGCTTCAAAATTCTTTTTGGTAACAATCTTGAGTTTTGCCAAGTTAAGTTAAATGATAAAAATCTGAGTATCTGGGTCATTTTTGGATTGAACACTGAAACATTATTGCTAAACGTATCTAAGTTTATCTACTTTTGCCTTCTTATTGCAGAGAGGCTAAAAGCCTTTGGGTCTTTTACTGTAAAGTGTGGCGTGTTTCTAGAAATTATGAAAAGTGTTTAGAATGCTGATATAAAAGACAATTCATAATTGCTTACTATTTTAGTGTTTACTATAGTCTGTTCAAGGTTAAAGAGTTCTAATATATGTGAATAAAGCTGCTAGAAATTAATAAGAAAAATAGCTCTGCATTCAATGAAAGTAAAGTGTAAGTTTCCAGTAAAGAAGGTATAAAGAATGGAAATATTTTGTTTGGTTGCATAAGAAAGATAAATTTGTCTTAATGTACTAGAAAGGAAAAAAAAGAAAGCATGGAACAAATCCTGAAGGTAAAAAGAAAGTTGTAGAAGGTTTGTGTAAGAGAAATTCTGAAAAGAGTTTTATGCCTGGTCAAGTTGGCTAAGATTGAAATGAATCTAATTAAGTAAATGGGTTTTAATATGAAAAAGTAAACTGGTACAAAAATTAGAATTTGGCTTTCTCTCTAAAAAGGATAATTTTCTTAAACTCTTAGTCTGCTCTTGATAAAAAAAGTTATAAAAGGTTTTTCCTTCTGAGTAAGTTTACACAAGATCTATGTTTTGTTAAGGTAATCTCCTAGGTGCAAAAAGACAGAGGTCTCTCTATTAAGGTTTTTTTTTTTTTTGCTGTTGTCACTTTGGTTAAATATTATGAGCCTTCTTTCAGTGACCCTTGTTTTACAATAAGATCAGCAACCTCTTGATCTTGTTTAAGTAAGTGTTTAAAAACCTTTTGATACTTTTGACAAGCTTCTCCCTCAAACAAATAGTCAAGTCTTAAATAAAGGTTTTCTTTTGAGCTGGATGGAGAAGGAGGATTTCTCTGAGGATTTTCAGAGGGCCCCTGGGACTTCACAGAGAAATTTGCTCTCTCTTCCTATAAGGTGGGAAATTCTAAACTAATGAGGCTTATTTGGTCTGTTAAATTACATTGGAAGCATTATCAGATAAGTGATGATAATCTTTCTTAGGTGGTATTATGTGGGTAAATGTTATTAATATAAATGTTCTGAAATTATATAACATTACTAAAATTCTGATCTGTCCTATCAGCCATAATTCTAATTATTACTTTAAGCTGTTGTATATCACAGAAATAACCAAGTTTCTCTGTCAATTGTCATTTTTAAGTCTTGTGTTGGTTACAGTCAGTTTGTTTTACTCTGATGCTTTTTGCTTTTGCAAATGTCTCATCTTCAGAGGAATTCATGGAAAGGACTCTGACACTTACTCTGGATTACAGTTTTCTGATAAACTTTCAGATCATAGAACTGAACTGGGTAAGAAATTACAGAAATCTAATGGAGAAACTGATGACCTCTTAAAACTGCTAACAGAAGATTAAGATCAAGAACCGATTATACAGGACTGAACTAACTGAGGATGAGTATAATTTTTGTGACTGTTATTTGAAGTATTGTTGATTTTTTGATGTTTTGCTTTGTTTCCTCAGATTTAAGAAAATCTTTTTCTCTTTTCTCTTACCCTAACTATGACTTTTGGCAATTTGGTGAAATTATACCTTTGTGAGCAAAACTGAAACATTTATCTATTTCTCCCTACCTGATCCCTCCAGAGTTTGGAAACCTAGTGAGTGAGTGAGTATGGTTATTTCGTGGCAATATAGTTATTTGCATCAGTTCAATAAGAATCTGTTCTCCTTATAACAGGACACATTTGTTATCTTACCAAAGCTTTGACTGGAATGTCATATTTGAGAGAAACATACAGACTCAGATATGACAATACTGCCTTTGA